ACAAAATACTAAAAGTGCAATAGTATAAATTAAGAGTTTGCAACCACATTATACAAACATTACCTTTTTATTGTACAGCTTTGATAACACGAAGTATTAATCACAACTGCTTATAAAGTTGTGAATAATTTATGGTGCTAAGGTTTGTCTGTAACTTGTTTTCCGATCATTGAACTAAAGTCCACACTACATTTTTTTTTTCATTTAATAGAACAACTGTCCACATAGCAGCTACAAATACTTAAATTAAAAAAAAAAAAAAAAAGTTTGTTACTGACAGGTACTTGCACATGAAAAGCATGCTATCTTTCCCAATAAAACTTCACAATTTTGCCTGCATTGAAATAAACCACTTACTTATAGTAAAGCAAAACTTGCTTAAAAAATAAAAATAAAAATAAATCACATAGCCAGATGTATTTTGCAGTACAAAAGCTTCATTTAAGTTTGGGGCTAGTATATTGTCTGTTACCCGCATAATCTTAACATTATAAATACTACAGACAAGGATACTGTAATAATACACAGAATTGGGGTACTAAATCACTTATTTAAGATTAAGGTTCCTAAAAACATAGTCCATGTTGCTAACTAATTTGAACAAAACCAGCAAATAAGTGTGACAGAATGCCATAGTGAAGCCCCCCTTTCTCACTTGATAATAAGTTTTGTAAGAAGCAAAGTGGACGTAGACTAGCCTCTTTCTGTTTCTAATGAAGTTATCCAAGGATTTTTTTTTGTTTGTTTGTTTCTGTTAAATTAAAAGGTTTCAAAGTTCTCAGTAACAGTCAAACTCACTGTTGAAAGAAGTACCATGCAGATCTTGCAAGACAACTTTTCAGCAGCCACAAAGTTAGGTATTTCTGCTATGGGTAAAATTTTAAAGGGAACCTATGCGTTTAGGTCAGGAAACTAATGCTTAGCTTCAAAAGCTGTACATGGAAAAGGACAAGTGTTGTGTTGAGTAGCGGTCCAACAGTTATTCATAATGAATGCTTTTAATTTATGCCAATCTCTTTATTATCCTCAATAAATCTGGTGAATGGACGACTGGCTCCAGTTTCAGAACTTGCTTTGTCCAAACCAACAATGGGAGGGCTGCTGCCTGTGCGAGCTTTGTCCATGCCACTGGTAAGGTTACTTAGAGGCGGGATGGCGCCTCCGCCTAGACTTACTGGGAGCTGAGGAATGCCTCCGTTCTGTATGACAGAAATCTCATTGTTCTTCATAGCAAGTCCATTAGTGATAGCTGCAGCATATTGGTTCCAAAAATTGGGGTCAACATTCATGGCCCGAGCTGCCAAATCTTTCTGGAACATCTCAGAGAACTTCAGCGCATCACCACCCAGCAAAGCCATGGGGTTTTCCACGGAGAGGCGGCGGCCACGGCGTGCAGGGGCATTATTCCACATGTGAGTTCCCATGTGAACCTGCAGAACAAACAGGACAAGAAACACCTCCACATTAGCACCTTCAGCATTGCTTGCTTAAAAAAAAAAAAAAAAAAAAAAAAAAAAAAAAAAGTCTTTTAATTCTTTTAATTCATATTGAAAACAAATCAGTTCCAGTTAAGACATAGTTGTAAGGCGCAGTCATGCTATACAAAGGAAATTCCAAACTTTGTAATCATCTTCCAATGTGCATTTGTTTCTTGTCAGTGGAAACAAATGCAGCACCACAAAAATAAACTGTACATATCCTTTTAGGTTAGATAATTTTGTATGCAAGCTGGAAGTTCTTCATGCTGAAGATTACCGAATACATTATTTTTACTAGGAAATGGGCATTTTTTCTGCCCTTCCCCTTTTTACGTCTTGTCTCTTTTCTTAATATTTTGTCTCATCCCAGAGGCATTGATTATTTAAATAATATTAAAAAATAATAATAAAAAAAATCAGGACATGTAAAAATATATTCCTAAGGCTGTATCCCGATGGTTAACCACATTATAGGAATAAGAGGCATCAGTCCCTTAGTAACTCATTTTAAATTAGTAAGAAACAGCTTTCTAGTCTGCAATGGCTGCAAAGCAGAATAGAAAATGGAAGTCTGTGATAGGCACACAAGGAGTCGAGTGAACTCTGCATTTCTGGTTTATAGGGAGTTTCTTTTGCACTGATGTTCCACAAGAACTGCCAGAATGTGTATGTCAGCTGACTGCCTGTTCCATCATGTGTGTCAGGCAAACTACAATGTGCATGTGCATATACCCAGAACAAGTTTTAAAGCATACATCACTGTACAGCCACTTTTAAATCCCTATCTTTAACACAGGAGAAACACCACCATTGAACAAACCTTGAATTTTCCTTGTCTCCTGTCTTTGGGAAACACACTTAGCACTAACACCTGCTAAGTTCAAGTACAGTGCCTTATTCCCCCCAAGCCTTTACAGTCGTATTTGGCCTCTTACCTTAAGATTCCCCTTTGTGGTAAAAGCTCTACCACAGATTGTGCAACCAAACGGTTTTTCACCAGTATGGGTGCGCTCGTGTATCTGCAGTGCACTTGCTGAGGAGAAGGTCTTCCCACAAGACTGACAGTTGTGCTGCTTGGGAGTCCGGCGAGGGGGGGGTGCCAGCATAGGGGTGATCCCCGGACTCATCACTGTCTGTGGTGCAGCAGGAACCTGGATTCCAGCTGGAAGCGAGGGAACCTCACCCAAAGAGATCGGCTTGCTGTGACCATTCACTTCCATTTTGATCATGGTAGGCGCTGTACTGGTGACCAGGCTAGGAGTACTTTGGCTGGGACCTAGAGTAAAGTTGGGTTCAAATAACTGAGAAGGCAGCTCTTTTAATTTGTGCGTCAGTAAGTGCTGTTTTAAATTACCCATAGTGGAACACCCACGATTGCAGACTGTACAAACAAATGGACGTTCTTTAGTATGGCTGCGGTAGTGAATTTCCAATGCACTCTTACAAGCAAAAGGCTTGCCACAGATATTACAAACAGTACTTTTAAACTTACCACGTTCTCTGTTCAGGAACAGCAGGCTAAAAGGAGCTTCCTCTTTGATGACCGGTCTTCCTGGGTTGGTGGATGTCAGATCTAGTGCGCCTCCATTTTCAGTTGCTGGTGGTGGACTGTCTGGTTTTTCTGTCTTTAATTGTATTTCTTGTGGTTCTTCCTGGTTACTGAGACCTGGGGACTTTGATCTAAAACTTTCACTATTGCTATTTACAGGAGACAGAGCTTGCATGGAGGAAGAAGACTCTGACATTGCAGGGCTGCCTGCACTCTGGCTTTCGAGATCGCCAACAGCCGATGAGGAGTCATTGCTTAAATGGTCACTTTCTCCTGATCCATTTTCTATGGATTTTAAACTGGTCAGCTGCTGACAGTTCATGACAGAATCAATCATTTTCATTTGATTCTCCAAAGCAGCAATACTGGAGATCACAGAAGGCGGTGAAGAAGGACATGACCCAGAGTAAGAGATAAGGGGTTTGGATGAGTCACTTGCTGCATCCTTTAGCTCTGGGTCCTCTTCCATAGAATTTTCATCAATGTCATCATCGAAGTTGCTCAGTGTGTCAATGTTCTTCTCATCGTAGGAAAGCTCTGAGTCCATGGCATCCTGGAAGCCCTCTGGTAATGGCGTGTTTGGAATTTGCCCACCCATATGCATACGAATATGCTGCTGAAGAACAACTGCATTTGTAAATTTCTTCTGACAAATGGGACATGAGTGCTGTACTCTAAGTGGGGGCTTCGCTCGATGAACTCCAAAATGTGTTTTTAGATTGCCTTTTGTAGTAAAGGCACGTCCACAAATTTTGCATTTAAATGGTCTTTCTCCTGTATGCGTTCTGTAATGCATCTTGAGAGCACTCTGACAACTAAGCACACGGTGACAAATGACACATTGATTTGGATCTGTCATCTTCTTATCAATGTTCTCTACCAGCTGTTGCAGTTTTGAGGTTTCTGATGTTTGCATAGAGTCTAGCAGACCACCAAATGGAAATTTTGCCTTAAACTGGTCAGACATTGCTGGAAGCACGGGGTTTGGGAGGCTTGTTGAAACACTGCTGTCTGTAACAGTAGTAGGAACTGAAGAAGTGGAAGCTGTGGAAACTTGCCCACCTACAGAGAGTTCCCCGAGCCTTGTGCCCGTGGGAGGCAGACTGACAGGTTCTGCCTTAGTCAGACATGAGCCACTCTGAATGGGCTGCGGGGATTCAGCAGACACTGGAATGCCTGACTCAGATGTGTTGAGGCTCGGGGATAAAGAAGTGCATTCACTGGAGGCAGGAGAAGGCCTCTGGGGTGACCGGCTCATGGGAGTAATGCTCGGAGAATCTCCAAAACTGTTCACACCGTGTATAGTAGGGGGCAGCTGGAGCCCAATGGAAGTTGGTATGGTTGGTAAAACAGGTTTGCTGTCTAACCATGTTGTGACCGGCTTTTCAGGGGGCAGTGACATCCCATATGGGATTCCAGAGCAAGTGGGCACGTTATCGAGGTATTCTGGAACGGGATAGGGGTTCATCTGGATATGAGGGTATTTCTCTTTATGCCTCTGAAAATGTACTTTCAGGTTTCCCTTTGTGGAAAACCGGTTTCCGCATATGTTACATTTAAAAGGTCTTTCCCCTGTATGTGAGCGGAGGTGTATTTGTAAAGCACTGTCACTTCCAAAGACCTTGGCACAAAATCGGCATTTATGTTTAAAAAAGGGGTCCTCGGAGCTTGACTTGGGCTCAAACACTGACACATTTGGTGGTTTTCCTTTGCGGTGCTTCATAAGGGCAGACAGAGGATCTAGTGCATTAGCCGTTGCAGCAATGCTAACTAGCGGATTGGGGAAGATCACACTATTTGATGAAGTCTGAGGTAGAAGTGGGTTTGGCAGGTTAGAAACTGAGGTGAGGCTTCCATGTCCTATTGAAGGTGGAGTTGAAGCATTCTGGGGCTGTGAAGCACTGTTAGTAGCATTTGACATGGAAACAGGAGTTACAGATGTAATTGCATTAGAGGAGGAGGGTACACTCGAT